GTCAAGGAAAGTCTCAGGTTCCATGTTGTCACACAAACCACGAAGGCGGTGGATGAGGCTTTCCAGACTGTGATCCAAAACACTTCCCTGCAACAGGTACTCCATCATGTTAATGGTGGCCCCTGTGACAGGCATCATGGTGACTGGAGGTGCCTCCATGGTGTGTCCTTGATTAAGTTGAAGACAACAGAACTGGACCTAGAGCCCCCAGTCAAGCAAGGTACAGGATATACCTCCATGCGCAGTCTAGCTTCTTCTCGAAAAACCGGGGATCATATCCACCTGTGCACTTCAGAAGTTTTGAGCAACCATTAAACTCCAGCCCTCATTGACCACGCCCGGCAAGCCCCCGACAGCAGCAACCACTCGACCTTGGATTTTTTTAATGGCCTATCTTTAGGTTTATTGATACTCTGATCTGTCTAATATGCTCTTAAATCTTTCTGGTGTATTTTTTCTTTTATATTTTACTTCTAACCTTTAGCAATTTCATTTGCTTATTTTTTCTTAACATCTTGAGTTTCTCTCATTGTGTTTATGTTTTCCTCTATTTTTTGAACATGCGGTGTTTCTTTGTAATTGCCAATTCCAGAATCTTTACTGTTAGTTGCATCATCTCTGTTTTTTTGGGGACTTTATCTGTTGATTGGCTTTTCTTCCTTGTTATGGATCTGTGGATCATATTTCATTTTTTTTCCTTTTGAATTGGAGTCTCACTATGTCTCCCAGACCAGAGTGCAGTGGTAAGATCATGGCTCACTGCCGGGCTCGGTGGCTCAGCCTGTCATCCCGCGCCTTTGGGAGACTGAGGTGAGTGGATTGCCTGAACCCACAGGTTCGAGACCCACCTGGGCAGCGAGACCTCATCTCTACAATAAATCAAAAAATCAGCCGGGCATGGTAGTGCATGCCTGTAATTCCGGCTACTTGGAAGGCTGAGGCGGAAGGATCGCTGGAGCCCAGCAGGTCGAGGCTGTGGTGGCCGGGAGCAGCCACTGCACTCCAGTCTGGGCGACCGAGTGAGACTCCAACTCAAAAAAAAAAAAAAAAAGATCTTGGCTCACTGTAGCCTCCTGGGCTGAGGTGATCCTTCCACCTCAGTCTCTTAAGCAACTGGGACTACAGACATGCACCACTATGCCTGGCTAATTTTTTTAAACTTTTTTTTTTGTAGAGGTGAGGTCTTGCTATGTTGTCTGGCTGGTTCTTAACTCCTGGACTCAAGCAGTCCTCTTGTCTCGGCATCCCAAGGTGCTAAGGTTACAGAGTGAGCCACTGTATGGGTCATATTTCTGCTTTTGGTTTAGTTACTAGATGCTGGACATAGTGAATTTTAGGTTGTCGAGTACTAGATTTCGTTTTCTTTTAAATTGTGTTGGACTTGGATGAAACATAATGACTAAGGTTAAATCTGTATAAAATGAGTACAAAATATGGGACACATTCAAGGATTCGATATATAGTTATCATGTACTCTGTTTTAAAAGACTTACCTTCATCTCTTGTCACCAGGAAGTATTACTTTCAGGCTCTTGATTGCTGTTCTGAGTGTACCTAGTGTCAACCATCATCATCCTAGGTGCTGGTGGATAGTGAGCAGCTAGAAAGATTCCAGTTCTTGGTGGAACTGATACTCCAATGTTGAAGACAGATGAGAAAACAAGAAAACAAGTAGAATACCAGTATTTCAGATAACAGTTTGTGATAGAAGAGATTAACTGGGGTGTGTTTAGGCTGGTGTCAGCCAGAGCTCTGACAGGAGATGGGAACCATATCAGCAATTAGAATAGGCACATTTTAACATTTAAAAAAATTATTAGCCGGGCTCGGTAGCTCAGCCTGTAATCTCGCGCCTTCAGAGGCTGAGGTGAGAGTGGATTGCCTGAGCCTGCGGGTTCGAGACCCGCCTGGGCAACTTGGCGAGACCTCATCCCTACAATAAATCAAAAATCAGCCAGCCGTGGTAGCGTGCGCCTGTAATTCTGGCTACTCGGAAGGCTGAGGCGGAAGGATCGCCGGAGCCTGGCAGGTCGAGGCTGCGGTGGCGGGGAGTGGCCACTGCACTCCAGTCTGGGCGGCGGAGTGAGACTCCAACCCAAAAACTAAAAAAAATATAAATAAATAAATAAATAATAAACGCTAAAGGATACAGTCATGGCGGATCTAGGGAGCAGCCACTAATTGTGTGGCTTAGGGAGATAGGACTCAAGGAAGGATCAAACCTGGAAGAGGCCTTGACTTGGAGAGGGTGTGCTTAGGACCTATTGGAGAGCAGAGAGGCAGGCTGGGACTGAGCACTGGAGAATGTGGCTCCTCAATGCTCCTCGCACTGCTGACCGGGAGCTGCCTGGTGGTAAGAACGAGAGACATTCCTCCTTATTCAGGGTTCCTGTAGCGCCCTCTACCCACGAGGCCAAATATTGTGCCTGCTGGCAAAATAAGTGCTTATAGGGTGCAGATCCTTCATTATAAAGCATGGCAAAGAAAGGTAGATTAGAGCTGAGGGACAGAAAACCTGGCTGGCTCAACCTGTCTTCCTGAGTAGGTGGTCTTTTTGCTGAGGCCAGGCTGATAGAGAGGACTCTATTGGTCTACCAGAGGCCTTTAACGATTTAGTGGATGAATACTCTAGGCAAACTAGACAAATGGAGCGACTTTGACCTGGGTAACCTTGAAGGCTGTAGTAAGAAATTTGGCATTTGTTCCTAAGTGATACGGAGAACAGAACAGGGAGCTGCATGATTTCTATTCTGCTGCTGCCTGGAGAATGGATTATAAGTAGATATGGGTGGAAGTAGGAGTGCCACTAGAGAGAGAGCCAGTGCAGTAGTGGAGAGGAAACTGGGTGCATTGTGGATGTGTTTAGGGTTTAGGTGGAGTGGGCAGCCTTGCTGTTGGATTGAAGTGGGATGGAGGAGGAGGAGAAGGTAACCCTATGTGTTCAAGGGAACTGGACCACTGCCACTAAGAAACAGTCTTGTTCCGGACTGCCTTCCGATCCGTCGTGTCTGCCTGCTTCTTTTTGTTCATGATGCCGTAAGCCAGACTCCTCTCAGTATGGGAATTGTCCAGTCTACATAAAAACCTAAAGATCTCCTATAATTAATTCAAAGCTTCTTTCCCCTAGGGTTAGCAAGTAACACCAGGAGTCACCAAGGGTGCGGGTAGTGCTGTGTTTCCTGTTTGCTTATGCCTTCCTTCTTCCTCCAGGATGGAGAAGGGACTCTGGAAGGAGGAGTTTGGGGTCTTCATTCTTTGCGAGGCTATCTGGGATTCTCTGACTGACTAGGTGCTGGCTCTTTCTTGTGGTAGACTGTCTTAGTGCATTTGGGCTGCTATAACAAAGTGACATAGACTAGGTGGCTTATAAACAACATATTTCTCATAGCCTGAAGGCTAGGAAGTAAGATCAGGGTGCTGGCAGATCACTGTCTGGGGAGGACTCAAGTTTTTGGTTCAAAGCTGAAGCCTTCTCGTTGTGTCTTTACATGGTGTAATGGCACAGCATCTCTCTGGGGCTTCCTGTATAACGGGGCACTAATTTGATTCATGAGGGCTCCACCCTTATGACCTAATTACTTCCCAAACACCCCTCTTCCTTGTAAATCTTCTTGGGGGTTAGAATTTCACCATATGAATGGGAACATGCAGGGAGACACATTCAGACCATTGCAAAACATTTAGACCTTCTTTGGGTACTTCTGAGATCTCAGTGAGTACTTTGTGCCAGACTGTCTGGTGGAGATTGTGTGTGACACACGATCCGCCTCATCAACCTCTACCCTCCACTCTGTCTGCTCCCACCAGTGTATGATTCTGGGGGCTGTCTACCCCAAAAGACCTGTATGGAGTGGGGTTCTTGAAACAAACTCCTGCCCTCCTGTGTGGCCGTGGCCGTGGCAGTGGCAGCTTATTTCCCTCTGCTGCCTCCTTCTCCCTCTGTCCACTGGGGAATACTCAGGCCTTTACACTAAAGAGTCTCACATCAGTGTCCATGTGTCCAGACTCCATAGGACCCAGTAGGCCCTTGGAAGAGTTTTCTTGTGCTTATTCCAGCAGCGTGTTGGGGTGGTACAAATATCTGAACAAATCTGACCAAGCTTAGCCCAGGTGAGTGTAAGGCTCCTTGGGACAGGCGATGCCCCTGTCTCTCTGAGAGCTCATCTCACCAGCTTCGTACTTGATGGAGGGGAAGGTGAGGGGAACACCCCTCCAGTTGTGGGGACAGGAGAGGAAACAGTGCAGTTTTCTTAACTTATGTGAATTCCTTTCTGAAAACCTCTCCCCATGACTGTGGTTCCTTCCCCAGGCTGCCTGGGCAATGATTATGGAGCTGGCTGCCCTGTTGTGAGCCCTGGGGAGGAGGGTCTCTAGCACCTGCATCACACATTCCCATATAGCAGAGCTTCTCATGACCTTTCTTTAGAGAGCCCACAGTGCCAATTGGTTGGGTGACTGAGGGAGGAAAGGGCTCAAAGGGGAAACCCAAAGTTGTATTTGTGTTCTCTATAGTGGTTTTTAGTGAAATCCTTTTAGTATTGTTGGGTATAGGAGATAAGAAGGTCTGATCTGGACTCTCCGTTCTCAGTTAGAGCAGGCAGTGCAGGTTATGGAATTTCCTGAGACAGAGAGGCCTCTGCCCTTGACCACCTGACTATGTGTACCTTCTTGGGTGATTGTGGCTGTGTTACTTCCTGGAGGTGTCAGTTGCTTGCGATGGTGATCACGTGTGCTGATAGGTCACTGGGAGTAGAATTATTCTTCTTTAAGGAATAAAAGAAATTCATTGAATGTCCTATGTGATTATGATGTAAGCTGTTGGAAGGTAAATATTAGTTCCAAACAATTCTTGAGTATCAGAGAGAGAAGTTTCCTATGGTTAAGATACTTTTCAATATTTGTGTTTTTAAGTTTTTCTAAAAGGTATTTTTCTGAACAGTTAATAAAAATTTATGCCATGAACATTTGAACATAACTGGTCTATTCTCTTTTTAAAGCAGGGCCAAGATTTTCTTCTTCACTCCCCGCTTGGTGGCTCCCAGCCAGAAGTCAGCAGTGGCGGAAGGCTAGCTCTGGGCGGGCAGACGCTGCCCTCGGATGCGCCATGCTCGTGCGAGGCCTGTAGTGAGCGCAGGTACGTGGTATGTGTGCCACGCTGCTCACGTCCGTCTACAGCAACATACAGGTGCATGTTGGAGCTGGGCCAGGAAACTGGGCTATTGTGACAAATAGCAACAAACATTTGAGCTATGGCTGAGAGAGTAAGAGTAATAGCTTGGCTATTTTGAGAAAGAACCAGATGAGTAAGACACAAATTCCTGCTCTTGAGGAACTCACACCAGGAAGCTAGTCCTCAGAAGGGCCTATGTAAATAATTGGAATCTCAGCTCAGTGACAGTAGAGGAAAGGAGGGATGGAAGAGGCTGGTGACTGGCCCTGCTAAGTGACTGAGGGGAAGAGAGCCCTGGACTGGATCTGAATGACTGTACCTCAGCTCCAGGAGGAATCCAGTGGAACCAAATGGCGACCAAAGGGCAGAGAGTCACAGGCTCCATGGGGGTGAGAGCTGCCCGATGGGTACCTTGAAAGGGGAGACCCTGGAGGGGGATGTCAGCGTTCCCGATTGTGACCAATAGCTGCAGTGCTTGCATCATAAGGAATGAGTGAAATCTCATAGATACTTGAGTAACACTGGGAGCTGTGCTGGGCTTGCTACCACCTAATCCCCTCCCCCCAGCAGTGACAGAGGAATGAGAGATAATCAAGGTTGAGGAGACTGAGGGAATGGTGGCCGTTTTACATTCTCCTTGCTTGGAGGCCAGTCTGTTAGAGTGAGGAGGTGAAGCAGACTGTGGCAATTTATCTAACCTGACTCTCCTTGTTCCCATATTGTCTCACAGAGATATTTCAGCAGAGACAGACAGAGAACCTCAGCAACTGCAGAACTACTGGTCAGAAGTACGCTACATGGTTCGCTGCATATACCGCCAGGCGGGGACCCCACTGGCAGATGACCAAGATCAGTCTCTGGTACCTGACAAGGAGGGAGTGAAGGAGCTCGTGGATAGGTACATGTCACCCCTTCCTCTTGTGGCCCCGTGCAAATCCTTACCCTCCCCTGCTTGCCTGGAAAGCTCTCTATCAGGATTGGTTTTCCTTGTGGGCTTGGGTGAAGTTTGACTGGGCCTACTCAGCCCTTGGCACAGGGCAGGTCTTTACAAACTGACAAAAATGAGCCATCTGGATAAAAAGTTGTGAATTCTTCTGATTCTGATGAAATAGTTATTACTCACATAATAAAAAAATGAAATGTTTCTGTCATTTCTCATGTTAAGACTGTCCGTAATACCTTCCTTTTTGAGCTCCTATGGTGCCAAGGATGGTGCAGAGTACTTTCACAAGCCAAGGAGAAAGGCAGAGTGAGCCCATTTACGAAGAGAGGAAACTGAGGCTCCATGACGTCAGACAGCTTGCCTGTCATGCATGAGGCAGAGAGCAGCCCAAGACAGGCCTCTCTGACTGTTTCTAGTGACACAGCATATGTTCTTCAGCAGATGCCTTGTATTCTCTAACCATGCAGAACCTGAGGGGCCGTAATTTTTATTCTTCCTTATAGTTTGAATATAATATCTTTTTCTGTTTTTTGAAATGTTTCAAATAAAATATTTGAGCTGGACATTTCATTAGTTGATTCTCATTTGGATTTCTTTCTCTCTCACATTCTGAATGCAGCACCTTTGGGAGTTGTATAGACTCATGCTTGCTGTGCAGTAGATTTTTATCCTGGAGGCAGGGGTAGTGGTGAACCATAGGTTATATGTTGACTAATTGACGAATTCTGCCATTGTGTTCAGGGTTTGACCAGTGAGCCAGTGGTATTGCATGAGATGCTTTTGGTAATATGTGCCTTTTTTAGAAGTTAGGTTTCCTAGTGAGTATTAGGAAGAAATACATAACCTTCACATTAAACCTATGAATGACTTCACAGATTATTAATGCTGCATCATCAATACTTTGGAATAGTATCCAGCACAGTTAGTGCGGCCAGTAATTGTTGAATGTACATATGAATTAGTGAGTAAATGAATGAACTTTCACAGCATCTTCAGCATATTTCTGCTTCCTTATATAACTTAAAATGTTTATTTGTAAAAATATCACATTATTTCCTTAAATTTATAAAATATAGGAATGGACAAAGAAATAAAATAAAAGGCATATAATTCTACCATGCTAAGAGAACTAATAATGGGGTGTCCAGTCTGCTTGTAAGTTTGATTATCTGTGTCAAAATAGATGAAATACATTCTGTTTCAGAGGACAGTTTTTTATACTAGTAATTAAAATTAAAGTTGCCATGCTAAAAAATTTAATATCGCTGTCTGAAATTTAATATCACTTTTCTGACCATAATGGGAATCCCATCAATTTACACTGTTTTTTAAAACCACATTTTACATGTGTTTCATATGTTCGCTGTAAGGTTTTACTTGGCTTTTATCTTTTACAGCCTACGTTTTATGGTAATTTAAACATAGAACAGGTGACAACTTGCTTTCTTCTCTTTTGACCTAATGTGGTACCCAGAAAGGAAAAACATCTATTATGTATAAGCCAAGAGCTGTAGCTTAACATATTTTACAACTTAATTCTAATAGAGTGCTGACCTCAAGTTTCTCCTGGTGATGGATTATGGATGAAGATTTCAGTTATTGTATCAGTGGTCCTAGGTTTCCATCTAGTGGCACCTCAGCAGTGCACAATTAAAGAAGTGGCAGCTTTAATGCCAAATACTATAGTGTTTGTTTTGAAAAGTGGATTGCCATACAGATATTTATATCAAGAAAGCAGTGGATTATTCCACCAAGTTTGGAAAGAAATTTGTGAAAATGTTCATTGTGTTTATGGCCTACTGGTGGGACATGTATTAATTTTTCTTTACTCTTAAGCTTTCAGATTTTATTTTCTACACTTTACTTTTTTGGTGGGATATTTTTTTTCTTTTTTTTTTTGAGTTGCGGTCTCATTCTGTTGCCTAGACTAGAGTTCAGTGGCACACTCATGGCCACTGTGGCTTTGACCTGCTGGACTCAGGCAATCCTTCCACTTCAGCCTTCCAAGTAGCTGGAGCTACAGGTGTACACCCCCACATCCAGCTAATTTTTTGGTTTATTGTAGAGGCAAGGTCTTGCTAAGTTGCCCAGGCTGGTATTGAACCCCCGGGCTCAGGCAGTCCTCTGTCCTCTGCTTCCCAAAGTGCTGGGATTACAGGCGTGAGCCACTGCACCCCGCTGCGATTTTTTTTTTTTTTTTTTTGAGTTGGAGTCTCATTCTGTCACCCAGGCTGGAGTACAGTGGCATGCTCCCAGCTGCTGCCTCAACCTGTTGGGCTCAGATGATCCTTCCACCTCAGCCTTCAAAGTAGCTGGAACTACAGGCGTGCCCCACCATGCCCAGCTAATTTTTTTTTTTTTTTTGAGTTGGAGTTTTACTCTGTCATCCAGGCCGGAGTGCTGTGGCATGCTCATGGCCACCCCAGCATCGACCTGCTGGGCTCCGGTGATCCTTCCGCCTCAACCTTCCAAGTAGCCAGAACTACAGGCATGCGCCCATGCCTGGCTGATTTTTTAGCTGTTGTGGAGACGAGGTCTCGCCAAGTTGCCTGGGCTGGTCTCGAACCCACGGGCTCAGGCAGTCCACTCACCTCAGCCTCCCAAAGTGCTGGGATTACAGGCTGAGTGACTGAGCCCGGCCCCTGGCTAATTTTTTTATTTATTGTAGAGATGAGGTCTCACTAAGTTGCCCAGGTGGGTCTTGAACACCTGGACTCAGGCAATCTCACCTCAGCCTCCCAGAGTGCTTGGGATTAGAGACTTGAGCCACCGTGCCCAGCTCTGGGATAATTTTATTTTATTTCATTTTTTTGAGTCGTAGTCTCACTCTCTTGCCCAGGCTGGAGTGCAGTGGCATGCTCACAGCTACCGCACCCTCTACCTGCTGGGCTCAGGCAATCTTTCTGCCTCAGCCTTCCAAGTAGCTGGAACTATAGGTGCGTGCCACCATGCCCGGCTTATTTACTTATTTTTAGAGATGAGGTCTCCTCAAGTTGCCCAGGTTGGTCTCAAATCCCTGGGCTCAGGCAATCCTCTCACTTTGGCCTCCCAAAAGTGCTGGGATTGTAGTCATGAGCCATCGCATCCGGCCAGATAATTTTAAAATAGGATAAACTGTGTCTAAAGTTTCCTCTGATTATAAAAGTAACTGAAGTCCATTTGGACTGTATATTGAGTACTTAGAAAGAAGGAGAAAGCAGACTGGCCCACTCCCGCAACCAGCTATCACTTCTGCTGGCATCATCAGTGCATTTCATCTGTTAACATATATGCCTTCAGACCAGGCACAGTGGTTCAAGCCTGTAATCCCAGCATTTTGGGAAGTCGAGGTGAGAGGATTGCTGAGACCAGGGATACGAGACCAACCTAGGCAACTTGGTGAGACCTCGTCTCTACAGTAATACAAAAAATTGGCTGGGCTTGGTGGCATGGGCCTGTAGTTTCAGCTATTTGGAAGGCTAAAGCAGAAGGATCGCCTGAGCCCAGCAGGTTGGGGTTCGATGGCCTCTAGCGTTCCACTACACTCCAGCCTGGGCGACAGAGTGAGACTCCAACTCAAAAAGAAAAAAAAATAAAAGTCTTCAGAAAGAATTATCCTCAGTTTCTCATACTTGAAGAGTCTTGTGGTTGAGGATGTGCATCTGAGCCAACTGCTAAGAGGTGGCGATATGCTCTGTCCCCTGCCAGCCGGGCAAATTCAAGCAACTCACCTCTGGCTTGTGTAGGCCAAAATGCCCTTCTCGGTAAAGTAGGCATCAAGTTAGTGCACATGTGTGAGTAGTGCCACATAGGAAAAACTCAGTAAATGTCACTTTTAGTTTACTGGTGACACACTTAGTGTCCCAGTTCCCTGTCTTTTAGGCGGAGCAAGTGTGCCTCTCATAGGTGGTTGGAGGAAGATGATTGTGTCATCAAAAGGTGGTCACCTGTGGTAGGGCTTCCGCAAAACTGCTTACTGACATAAGAGCCAACTGTGGGGTCCTTTGTGGGCCAGCCATGGATGAGTGGTGATTCTCTTTCTCTGTGCAGGCTCTGCGAGAGGGACCCCTACCAGCTGTACCAGCGATTGGAGCAGCAAGCCCGAGAGTATGTGCTAGAGATGAAAGTCCGCCTGCTCCGGCAGCTGTCAGCCGCCGCGAAGGTGAAGGCGCCATCTGGTCTGCAGGGCCCGCCACAGGCGCACCAGTTCATCTCTCTCCTGCTCGAGGAGTATGGTGCCCTCTGCCAGGCGGCACGCTCCATCAGCACTTTCCTTGGCACTCTGGTAAGAGAGGAAACACTCTCTTTTCTTTCTGTTGTTGAGAAGATAAACGGAAGAGAAGAAATGTCTGGCAGGACGAAGCTTCTGAGGGCATGTGCACTAACCTCGCTGTCACACCCCCAGCACCATCACAGCCCCCATCCCCCACAAGGATGGGTGCAGGATGTAGGAGAGAACCGGTTTCCTCTCCTTTTTCTCTTTCCCCTGGCCTTTGTCACTGGATAAAAGCACTGAGTGGATTGATGTCCAGGTGAAACCTCATGGATATACTGTTTGGGGAAGTGAGACAAGGAGATACTTTGAGAAGAGGACCAGTGTGTACATTAAAGGAGACAGAAGTCTCTGGTATCTTAAGTTGTTAATGTTGTCATTTTTACCATAGTCAGAGCTAGTATTTGATGAAATATACATGAGGAGCTTGACAACTGTAGAGAGTTGCTTATTTACAGCCCGCATCATGCATATATGCTTTTTTTTCATTTACATACATATAATTTTGCGGGTCATTTCAAGGGGTTCACAGACTTCTTTGAGCATGGCTGCATTCAGCCATGTGGGGAGGCATTCATTGTGAGAAGAGGAAACTAGGTGAATGGGTGGGGCTGAGGGCAGTTGTCCTGCTTCAAGGCCTGAGTCTACCTTACAGCTGCAGACTTTCCTCTGGAGCCTCTTCTTTCATCTGGCATCTCTCGAAGCACCACCTCCCCACTGCTACTTAGTGAGGGTCTGCCTGTCCTTTAGGGTTCAAATCCATAGTCCCTCCTTTCTGACAGCACTCTTCCCTGTCTCCAAAGAGAGGACTGGTACCCAGAGAGACACTGGTAGTTAAAAGAGATTCTGCTGCTCTCCAGAAAGTGCTGCTGAGATCCAGACCTCCTCAAATAGTTACAGTAGGACACTAACTTTTGTTAGTTTTATGAAGCTAACAAAAATTAATTTCAACTATGGTTATTGAAGCAAATTCCTAGCAATTTATGTGGACATAATTGTGGCTTGAAAAATATGCTTAAGTGAGATCAATGCTTATTTCAGTTTCTTCATGCATAGAAATATTCACTTTAGTTTCTAGTAGTATAACAGTAGATACCCTGAACTATTCCTTCCCCTAAGAGAAACAGCTAAACTTACTAGGTAACATAAAATAAGATAAAATCTTAAAACATGTGGCTGACATGGCATGAAAGGGAATAAGTCCTAGAAGTGAAAAGTCAGTTGAAAGCTAGAATCTTGAGAAACATATGGGTTTAAAGCTAGCATTTGTTCCAAGGACTTCTTCTGACCTGAGACAGAAGGTAAAGCCTCAGTCTAGCCCAGGGATAGGGTCAGTACAAAATGCTGGGCCACAGATGATTACAGCCTCAGTATGAGGGGAGAGGAGAAACTCCCAGCACTCAAAGAGCAGCAAAGACTATTAATCTGTCATGACTTTGGTATGGGTATGGCAGGGAATTACAACCTCCCAGAGATTTTGTAACTGTAATCCAATTGCCACGAAAGTTGGAATCCGAGCAAATGCTATCGGTGTGCAGAAACAGCTTAAGCCTAGAAGTTACTTTGTCATGGTCCAAAGTTGCTGGTAAAGTCAAATAGCATGCAGATAACCTCTGGAAGGCTTGACCTTTAGTATGACCTCAAATAATTTGCATAGGTAAAATCCCCCAAAAGGAGCAGCTCACAGTAAAAAAAGAAAAGAAAAGAAAAATAAGAAAATGCAAGGTTCAAAACAGCATAATTGAGAGCTAGCAAAACAATAGACAGAATCACATAATCAAAGGTATATAAGTTTTCAAAAAAATATATAGAAACTAGGTTAACTGTGTTTAAAGAAGTAAAAAAATGTTTGAGATTATGAGTTAAGGATTAAGATGCTAAAGAATGATCATTCAGATTTGAAAAAAACAAACAATATTAGAAATAAAAATACATAATTTTTTTAAAAAAAGGCTTAATGGGCTGAGCATGGTGGCTCACATCTATAACCCCAGCACTTCAGGAAGCCGAGGCAGGAAATCACCTGATCCTTGAGACCAGCCTGGGCAAAATAGACCCCCATTCCCACTCCCCACCCCCCTAAAAAAAATTAGGCAGAGTGGTAAATGCCTGATGTCCTAGTTACTCGGGAGGCTGAGGTGGTAGGATCCCTCTGGAAGGGATCTGATATGATCGTGCTACTATATTTCAGCCTAGGTGACAGAGTCCCTTTCTCTTAAAAAGCTTAATGGATAGATTGTTTTAAACAGAATAAACAACTAAAAAGAGAATTGGTGAATTGGAAGAATGAAGGAAAGGAATTCTACAGAATGTAACTCAAATAACGAAATGGGGCACATAGGGGAGGTTGAGACATAGAGGATACAGTTACAGTGAGGAAGTCTATCACTAATCAGATTGTACAGTTTTGAATTCAAGATAGAGGCTAACAACAAATCTCAGTTTGCCCCGTGACTAGTTTTCTAGCAGTTTGCCACACTAACTTTGTTGTCTTCTTTTTCTCCTTCTTTCCCTTTTACCCTCTTATTGATGCAGTATCTTAGTGCACAGCCTAGATAATATGCCTCTTTTTGTCTTAGAATATTCCAGTATGCATCTCTAAAAATGAACTTATGTTATATAGCCAAGTACCATTGTCACATCCAGGAAAACTAACAGTAACTTCTTGTTGACTAGTGCCAGTCCCTATGAAAATTCTCCAGTTATCAGGACTGAACACTGTGGCTCATGCCTGTAATCCCAGCACTCTGAGAGGCAGAGGCAAAGGATTGCCTGAGCCCACAGGTTCGAGACCTGCCTGGGCAACTTGGCGAGACCTCGTCTCTACAATAAATAAAAAAAATTAGCTGGGCATGGTGGCGCACACCTGTAGTTCAGCTACTTGGAAGGCTGAGGTGGAAAGATCACCTCAGTCCAGCAAGTCGAGGCTGTGGCCATGAACGTGCCACTATTCTCCAGCCTGGGCGACAGTGAAACTCTGACTCAAAAAGAAAAAAAAAAGAAAAAAATTATCCAGTTACCTAAAAAGAATTTCTTTTTTAGGTAAGGATAGTCAAGTCAATGTCTCAGAGCAGTAGTTCTCAAAATTTTTGGATCCAGGCCTCTTTATACTTAAAATTGAGGACCCTGGGCCAGGCAGGGTGGTTCACAAGACCTGTAATGCCAGCACCTTGGGAGACAGAGGTGAGAGACCACATCTCTACAATAAATTAAAAATTAGCCAGGTGTGGTGGCGCACGCCTGTGGTTCCCGTTACTTGGAAGGCTGAGGTAGAAGGATCGCCTGAGCCCCACAGGTCGAGGCTACAGTAGCTGTGAGTATGCCTCTGTACTCCAGCCTGGGCAATGGAGCGAGTCTCCGACTAAAAAAAAAAAAAAAAAAAAATTTGAGGACCCCAAAGTGCTTTTGTTTATGTGTATTATTATATCAGTATTTACTATATTGAAATTCAAACTGATTCATTTTTTTGTCATTTAAAAACATAAATTTATTAGACTACATAAATAGCATATTTTAACATATATTAGGTAATAACATAGTTTAAAAGTAATCATTTTCCAAAACAAAACATATTTAGTAAGAAGATTGGCATCATTTACATTTTTACAAATCTCTTTAATGTGGCGGTTGGAATTTTATGTCTCCTTCTGTGTTTAATCCTTTGTCATAGGTTGTCTTGGTTGAAGGTATTGAAGAAAATTCAGCCTTGCATAGATATGTAGTTAGGAAAGGGGGGAATATTTTAATAGCCTTTTCAAATTTTTAGGGATATTCTCTGAGAGTATACCAAGGCTTGAGGGAAAAAAAAATCAAGAATTTCATAATGGTTAGTTGCAGTGTAGAATCTGAAACCCTATCACTGAACTTACCCTACTCTGTTTCATTAAATTCACTGGTCCAGCTTATAAAAGTGTGAGCTCTTCTACTCATGCATGGTTTTCTAACATCTTACATAGGTGATCAGGCAAATACAGGCTCACTGAGTTCTCAGTGCAAATAGTCCTCATGATGACACTTTATTATTTAGTATCAAAAAAGTAACATTTGTTAATATCAACACTGATATAATCAGAAAGGTCCTTTTTTGTTTGTTTTGCTTTTGAATTGGAGTCTCATTCTGTCGCCTAGGGGAATGCAGTTGCATGTTCACAGCCACTGCAACCTTGACCTGCTGGGCTCAGGCAATTCTGCTTCAATCTTTCAAGTAGCTGGAATTACAGGTGTGTTCCACCACACCCAGCTAATTTTTTTTGATTTATTGTAGAGGTGAGGTTTCACCAAGTTGCTCAGGCTGTTCTCAAACCCCTGGGCTCAGGCAGTCCTCTCGCCTTGGCTTCCCAAAGTGCTGGGATTTATAGGCTTGAACCATCATGCCCAGTCCAGAAAGGCTTTTAAATGTGGAGAAGCTTTCAAGCTTATGGTCACAGATGCAAGTTTTCCAAAGTTCTAATTTTTGCTTGAAGGCTCAGATTTTATGATTAGTCACAAATATTTTCACTTATTTTCCTTGAAGCAACATGTTCTTTTGCTGTGCAAACTCTGCCAGCTGAGTCTCTGCTAACTTCATTACTTCTTCTGTTAACAGCAGCCCCCCCCCCCATTCTTCTGGTTCTGTTGAATCCACTGGATACACTGGGGCATAGAAAACGATTCTAAAAACGTGACTTTCCTGAGAAATACACTTGTGGGGTTTCTTTCACACTGCCTGGGGGATCAAACAAGATAATGGGTCACATTTTTCTATCTATTTTAAATATAAAAATTGGGGCTAGATTTAAGTTATACTTCCATTTACCTAGGAAGTGCCTCACCAGGTTGTAATAACTAAACTTGAATGTCCATACACAAAGACAGAAGAATCTTGAATACCCTTGCATTTCTCAGTCTACTGTAGGACTTCATTCTAAACACTTTCTCTTCCTTCTTTCAATCCCCCCAAAACCTCTTGCAGTTGAAAGAGGGAAGTGAGAACAGTTTGGATGGAAAGCCTATGCTGGGGTCATTGACAAGCTCTTTCTTTTCTGCCTCTAGCTGGGCATTCCTCCCAAAGGCCTCACCTCTCGTAGGAGCTGTGATAGACATCTCCTGCAGAGCCCACCTCCTGCATGCCCTGGTCCGGTTACTCAAGCACCTCTGTGCCGTTTCCATGCCTGTAAATACGGGCACGGGGCAGGGCAGTACCAAGTTCACAGGGAACTTACTGGAGGCATTAATGAATTCAGCGCTGAGAACAGTCCCTGGCTGCGGTAAGCACTCAGGTGTTAGCACATGTTGTTGCTTAAGTAAACACCAAGTTGATTTCAGGTTGTGAAGTGAGTCTGGAATCTGCCGTTTATCTTGCATGCCTCACCTAGAAGTATTATTTCAGATTTTATAAAAATGCCAGACATTTTCATAAATCAGTTGCAAGTATGGAGCCTCAGTCAGTGGGCTCACCCACAAGCAGGCAGGGAGGATGTGTGTCCCAAAGGTTTCTGAGGAAACCAGGCAAGACTTCGACTCTCCTGGGAAGCATTTTCTGGACTCTCCTTCAGCTGGCTGAGGGCCTGGTGTGGCCCAGGTGCTACCTCAGCTCCTGAGTATTCTTTGTCTTGAAGGTGAATTGTCTTGTAGATCACTGTCCACTCTTCTCTTCCCCAGAGACTCCTGTAGGGCAGGGACTTACCATGGCAGGTGGTAGTCTGTACCTGGCGCAGTGCCTGTGCAATGTAGGCTTAGCTAAAGCCTGTGACACATGTCCTTCAGCAGTTTACCTCTACCCATGACATCATTACAACCCTATTCATATGAGAAGGCTTCTCATTCCACGCCTGAGGCTGGGGTGATCAGTTGCCAGGCCTTTGGTCTTCTGCCACATGAGAAACTTTCTTATATTGATGTATGCTTACTGAGTAACAGGAGTGATGAAAGTCAGATCTGGGAGGCACTGATGTTTTGGTAAAGCATGTAATGAGGAAAAGCACTGGAAATGTTAACAAATTAGAGGGTTTGTGGTTTTCTGCACATGTCACAGATCTCATTACTGAGTCTCTCACTGTTTATGTTTCTAGGTATAAAAAGAGGGCTGTAACCAGCAAGGCTGGCACACTACCAGTGTTATAGCAATGTATGCGCTCCACATTCTCTTACAGATGTTGATTTTCAAGAACAGAAGTTAATCATTATAATTTGTTCTTTCAACCCATTCCACCAACAATGGTTATCAGGCAACAAAACAATAGGATATGTTTAGTTCATTTACTAACATCTCTGTCAACTCAGTTTGGCTGTATTGTAAATAGGAGCAGACAGCAAAATGCAATCACCAGGAGTAAGTCCATTCAGAAGGGCATAGAGTATCAGTGAATAATGATAAAATTTTCAGAATTGTCAGTTGTTTGGATAAGGGATATTTACCCCAAAATGAACATGATCTGAATATAAGTGTGTCTACGTAGCTTACAGAGGGAAGCATAGAGTCATACATGCATAGTTGTAGCAAAACTTACTAAATGTGAAAATTACATTTAGGAAATATAGTAACACCACCAACCCAGTGATCTTGTGTTGGGGGATAGCAGTACATCTCTGTTGACATCACACTCTGTGATGCTCACAAAATGTTTTCATGGTATCATCTGAAGTAATTGATGAGTTTGTCTGTTAGCAAAACAAAATCCCTTATATTTGACAGGGTATCACTATCAGAGAAATTGTTTATCAGAATGAGTTTCTCAAGACAAGTAAGAAAAGCATTGACTTTTGGCATTAAGGGATTTGTATGTATTTAAACTGAAATGTAGGACTTTCATTACATTTTGAAAGCATAATTGTAAGAAATGACCATCACATGTATGTAGTTGTTTCTCTGGCCCTTCTTTATCGGTGTGTGTACCTGCCACCTTTTCCTTTTGTGTGTGGGTTATTTACAAGGGAGACTAAGTAGAAACCCGTGCCATTGTAGTCAGAGATCTGATTTGATGTGTGCCTTGGGACAAACAGGGAGCAATGACTCCTTGTAAGCAGAATGTTCTGGGCCTACATAGAGGGATGTGGGCATGCGGGGTAGAGAGAGAAAAAATACTTCTGGGAATTTTCAGGTCTTCTTCAATTCACTACATCTTCTATTTATCTTCTCCCCCCCCCCCCAACTAGGAAAATGAACACTTGAAAAAGTTCCAGGTGACGTGGGAATTGCATAATAAACACCTGTTTGAAAATCTGGTCTTTTCGGAGCCACTACTCCAGAGCAACTTGCCTGCACTGGTTTCACAGATCAGGTATCTGGTTTTATTAACCTGTGTGTGTCTCCGTGGTGTGACCGCATAGTCTTTTCTCCTAGGACGTGGTGTATGTGCCTGAATACCACTGAGTGTGGAAGTTCTTGTAGGAAAAATAATAAGGCCTAGAGAAAAAGATGGTGTGGGCAAAAAGCTAAAAATTTGAGGAGTAATACAATTAAACTTTTAAATGATAATGTAAATGTGACTGAGATTGAACATCACAAATTTTTTGTAAGTATAGAAACCCTACCATGAGCTGGGCTCGGTGGCTCAGCCTGTAATCCCGCGCCTTTGGGAGGCTGAGGTGAGCG